ACTTCTGGATCTATGATATTTAACAAAGGTTTTGGGACTGCTTGTTGTTTAGCCAATGATGTTACTGTTTATTTAGTAATCAAGTAAAATAGATGGCCATAGTCTGCTTATTCATTATATGCTCTTCACTATTTTGTCTAGACATTGACGGCGAATACTACCATAGGGCAAGAAACACTTGAAAGCCGTGGATTGCACTTTCACGGATACTTATTTTGGATATCATTTGGCGCCTTACTTGGATTTGTAATAATTTTCAACATTGGATTTACCTTGGCCTTAACCTTCTTAAACCGTAAGTTTGTCTTTTGATTACATGAAGTCAACATAAGAATTGCAGAGTGATACGTGCTTATTTCATTTCATAATGAATTCAGCTCCTGGTTCTCGTGCTATTATTTCAAATGAAAAGCTTTCCCAAATTCAAGGATCTGAAGATTCCTCCAGTGCTGCCAATGCAGAAGCAAAATCTACAGATTCTCATAACAATACTACAAAATCTCATGAAGGTCATGTATTTTTAGATTTTTCTTCATTCTCTTATAATTATTGAAACCATTGCTTCACATGGTTCTTTTCCTTCATTTATCTTCTTATAAGTTTATTCCTGTTTCACTTAATAAGGGTGGGTAATCTTGTTTTACAGGTCGAGTGGTTTTACCTTTTGAACCCCTAACTCTGGTGTTTCAAAATGTGCAATACTATGTTGACACCCCTGTGGTAATCATATAAACAAATCTCTTATAAATCTTATGTACCTGTTAAATATTTAGAACTAATTGGATCAAACTACATTGGTTGATTGTGTCATTTTTCTTTGATTTCAGGCAATGAGAGAAAGGGGGTTCACTCAGAAAAAACTCCAACTTCTTTGTGATATTACAGGTGCATTTAGGCCTGGTGTTCTTACAGCATTGATGGGTGTCAGTGGAGCTGGGAAAACAACTCTTATGGACGTTCTTGCTGGAAGAAAAACTAGTGGCACTATTGAAGGAGATATTAGAATTGGAGGGTTTCCTAAGGTTCAAGAGACGTTTGCTAGGATTTTGGGTTACTGTGAGCAAACCGACATACATTCTCCACAAATTACAGTTGAAGAATCAGTGGTTTATTCTGCTTGGTTGCGTCTGCATCCTGAAATTGATTCAAAAACTAAATTTGTATGACCTATATATAAGGAAGTTAAATTTACTCTTTAATCTACAACAATAGTTTAAACATTATTTTACTTTTGTTGCTGCTGCACGTCTTTGCAGGAATTTGTGAAAGAAGTCCTTGAGATCATTGAGCTTGATGAAATCAAAGATTGCTTGGTTGGCATGCCCGGTGTTAGTGGTTTATCAACTGAGCAGAGAAAGCGGCTTACGATATCCGTGGAGCTTGTTGCTAACCCCTCTATTATTTTCATGGATGAACCTACAACTGGATTGGATGCAAGAGCAGCTGCAATTGTTATGCGAGCAGTGAAGAACGTGGCTGAAACAGGAAGAACAATTGTTTGCACCATTCACCAACCAAGCATTGACATATTTGAAGCATTTGATGAGGTAGGAAAGCAATTAATGAACTATTTTAAGAGAACTTTGAACATAAAGACAATTTGGATACTGAAATGGAATTAATTATGTGAGTTTTAACGCTGTTTGATTGTAACTAAAGCATTTTTGAACTCAATAGTGTAAGCTTGGCTCAGAAAATTACATTCCCAAATGCCTTCTACTGAAGAAATGACACATGGAAGGGCCAAGCTTCAAGACTAGTGTTACCTCTTGATTTGAAGCCTTTCAAATATTTAGTATTACTATTATTATCTTTGTGCGAGTTGGTATTGTGGCCAATTCTCTTAACAGCTTGACCTATTATTGCAACTGCTTTCCTAACATGGTATCTAAGCTTTACTTCTCAGAAGTATTGGGTTAATGTCTATCCATGTGTATTTCAACCATTTTAAATGTAGAAGTTCGACTAAGTTTCTATAAGCTCAGCAACAGGTTTCCTATTGTTTGATGATGTTGAATGTGCCTTACCACCAAAATCTTTCAAATTATTTATTTCTTTCACAGATAATAGCTAGACCTTCTATGTGTTGCCCTCTATTGCATCACAGTGAAATTTGGTCACTTGAGCATAATCAATTCAAAACCTGTTTGATGTTTACAGAGAACATCCACTTTAAAAATTGTCTCCTAATTCTAATCCAATTTCATATTTGTGGTTCAATGTAAATAAATTAGGTCTAATGCCTCCTTGATATTGATTGCAGTTGATTCTATTGAAATCCGGCGGACGAATTGTTTACTCTGGACCACTCAGTCAACATTCAAGCAGTGTCATCGAATATTTTGAGGTCAGTTTGCTGCAGGAATACATAAACCTCTTAGATGTTTTTTCCCTTTAATTTGTGTACATGATATGCTTCTAAAAGTAGGAATTTAAGTATTGCTTTATCTTAATTTCAAGCATCTCTCTAACAGGATATCTCAGGGGTGCCAAAGATAAAAAATAATTACAATCCAGCAACATGGATGTTAGATGTCACTTCTACATCGGCAGAAGCTGAACTTGGTGTTGATTTCGCCCAAGTTTATAAGAACTCTGTCTTGTATCAGTAAGTTCAACTGCTCACTACTTCTTTCTCTTTGGAGTTAGGATGGTCATTACAAACTTGCTTGGTGTGACTGCAATGCAGAGGAGTCTATCTCCTGAAAATAAGCATCTTTCAAATTTATTTGTCATGTGGACGTTTTCCCCAATATCTCTCTCAAATTGTTTAGGTTTTTGTAGTCTTAGGTGACCTTAAATGGTTTTTGGGAGCCAATGCTATTTGTGTACTAGAGGGCTTTTTGATTTCAAGGAATTAAGAGAGTTCAAATGACTACTTAAGTTTTAAAGTAGCAGCTTTATTGTTTTTTATGACTGGGCTGCGGTTATATGACAATCCACTTGTAGCTAAAGTTTGAGATCTTACATTTCATCTTGAAGCTCAAGTTGTTCCGCTAGTTGATTTCAGCGTAGTCGTCACATGAGGTCCTGGATGAATTCATTAATGACTAATTACAATAATCTTCGGTTTGATGTAAAAGATGGATATTGGCATTGACGATGCATTCAAATTTTACTTAGAATTTCTGTGAGAGACTGAGAGGCGATGGGTGTGGAACCATTAATTTGGGCAATTTTTTTTCTCCCAAGACAAGATGAAATACTGGAAACCAGTTATTTATGATACAATAATGATTGCTTTATGATAACAGTCTTCACTTGTGTATGACTCATTTTCGGTCATTGTGATTGTAGGAACAATAGAGAACTTGTAAATAGGTGGAGTACTCCACCTCCTGATTCAAAAGAGTTGTATTTCGCAACCCGCTTTGCACAAAATGGTTGGGGACAGTTCAAATGCTGCCTCTGGAAGCAACACCTGTCTTATTGGAGAAGTCCTGCATACAACTTGCAGCGTTTCGTGTACATGATTGTTGCATCTTTTCTTTTCGGGGTACTGTTTTGGGATCAAGGAAAGAAATTGTAAGTAAATCAAATTGAACTACATTGTCAATGGTTTGATAGATTAGAAGATATCAGAAACAAATCGTCTTAGGATATTTTGATCCAAAAAAAAAAATCATTGTTAAAACTTTTTTTGTTTTCTTCTTTTCAAGTATGCATTATGTATTTCATAGACAAAAAAAACCACCAAATGCAGTTCTCTGATTCCTTTGAACTCGGATGTCTATATTTATTGGATCTGGGATTCCATTATTGTTTTATTGGATAGACTTCTGTGCATGCCTTAACATAAATAATCCTTTTATTTGATAGAAAGACCCAGCAGAGCCTTTTCAATGTATTTGGTTCAATGTTCTCCACTACGATCTTCTTGGGCATAAATAATTGCTCATCAATTTTACCATATATCTCAACGGAGCGATCTGTTTTGTTTCGGGAAAGGTTTGCCGGGATGTATGGTTCGTGGGCTTATGCACTTGCTCAGGTATAAATTTCTTAAATATTTGATTTTGTTATGAAATTTTATTATCTAGTAATTTTTTAATGAGCTTTTTGTTAATAGCACTTCCTACATACTTAAATGCAACTCTGCTAATTTTGTAGGTCACGATTGAGATTCCCTATCTCCTAGCAATATCAATTGCATTTGTGGTTATTACATATCCAATGATTGGGTATTATTGGTCAGCTTATAAGGTTTTCTGGTATTTTTATGCCATGTTTTGTACATTACTATACTTCAGTTATCTGGGAATGCTGCTTATTGCAATGACACCGAGCTTTCCAGTGGCTGCAATTTTACAGTCCGCCTTCTACACAATTTTCAACCTGTTCGCTGGATTTCTGATACCTCAACCGGTAAGCTAATAACCTATAGTTATTGTGGTACTACGAAGCATGGATATGGATACGAATGAGGACATGGGACGCGATGATTTTTAAAAAATTAGGACATGAACACCGCGGGAATAAAGAAAAAATATATATATATATAAATTATATTTGCTATGTATATAACTATTACATCTATAAACAAACAAAAATAATGAAAATTAACACTAATTTAACATAAAAGCAAACTAAATTTAAATCAGTCAAAGACTAGATTTGTGTTGCATTAGGGCTTCAGGATCATTGAAAGCCAGTGTGTCTCAACTTCACAAGAGGTTAGATCTATGTTACATTGCTGATGGTTTGATATAGTTTTATTTTTATTTTTAAAATTTAACCCTTATATTTTCAAATATTTCAATATGACACTCAAAATTAGCTTTTAAAAATTAAAATGAGACCTCACTATGCCTTGAAGTGTATCTCATTGTGTATATAAATATTATGAAAAAGGACGCACCAATGTGGCATAAGAAAATGGGCACACCATGTGGCATGCCAGACGTGTGTCCCCGCCATGTCCGTGTCCCATACGTGTCTAACACTACTACAACACCTATTTTGAAATATCAATGCTTCATAATTGTGGTATTTGCATTGATTTTAACTAACATTTTGTTGCAATTTAGATTATTAATTACAAATAAACTATTTGTTGTGGTGATAATAGAACATGGAAAAAGCCATTATGCTATCTTGCAACCATTTACCTAGTTTAACCCTAAATTATAACTTTATTTTCATGATATCTCTTACTCTCTCCTCTAAAACCTGAATCTTTCTTTTCACATAAGTCCCTAGAAAACCCATAAGTCCTATTCCTAAACTACATTTTATAACTTGAATTCTTTACTCAGACCCATAGGTCCTATTTTTAAACTCTCGGCTCAGAGTCTGGAAATTTGCTTGAAAATTTTGAGTTTTCAATCCCTGGCAACAGGTATTCTGTTGGGTCTGAGTAAATGAACCATTTTCACTTTGGAGATTGGATCATGAGCGAAATCATCTAGCAAAATTTGTTCAGTAGAAATCTGCAAATGTATGAATTCACAAAGCATTCTGTTGATTTTTCTTACAGGTAAAACTTTTTTTCCATCTAGAATGAGGAAATCTTATACATTGAACATGATACATAGAGAATTAATCATAACTTAATAAAAATGAAATGTTTTTTTACTAAGTGCTTAAAATTATAATATTAATATTGATGCTAAAGATCTATTAGAACTTGTTGGTTTTTGGAGTTTGTTAAAATTCAAGGGTCCCAAGGTTTTGTACCAATCGCCTGATTGGCTGTGTTTTTGGAACAAAAGCAATGAAAAGTTTGAAAACACTCATTGTTTTCATTTTTATGAGCAAAAACCAATTTTTGAAATTTTGAAAACAGCTTCTAAAAAAAGGGTTGTTTTTAGAAACTTAAGTGATACTAATCTAGTTGTGTTTTATATTTTGCTTCTTGCAGCAAATTCCCAAGTGGTGGATTTGGTTGTATTATATAAATCCGACTGCTTGGACACTAAACGGTATGCTTACATCGCAGTATGGAGATATAGACCAGAACATTAAGGTGTTTGGAGAAACCAAAACTGTTGCGGCCTTTTTAAGAGATTATTTTGGATACAGACATGATCAGTTACCCATTGTAGCTGTTATGCTCCTTATTTTCCCCATTGTTTTTGCTTCT